TTTTTTTTTTCTAAACGAACTGAGCCAAATTTGTCCAAATCAAACTTACACGAGCCCAACTCAAGCTTGCGATATATCAAACAATTTTTTAGTTAAACTGATAATTCATTCATTAAACAAGCTCGAATTCAAACATGAAGTACTTAACTCGAGTGGCTACTAAGACAACGGAGACCTAAAAAAAAATTATAGTAAAAAAAAAATAATTATTTATTTCTTACAAACTCGTGCTTGAAAATGCACTTAAACCATGCATTTGTTTCACATCAGGTTCCCAATCTATACATGTAAAATGATGAAAATAATTACATAAATTTTCAATACTATCCAAACATGAAATTATTATTATTATTATTATTATTATTATTATTATTATTATTATTATTATTATTATTATTTCTTCCATTAAATATGGTGGCCTGGCAGATGACAGAGCTGGTGATCATTAGAGTACCGTTCATAGCTCCAAATTAGCTCATTAGATGCCTCATTCTTATCATCCTCATCCTCAAGATTGTCACTAATGCAGAAATTCATTTCAGAGCTTTCGACATTAATCTCACGAGCAAATTCGTTGGCCTCGTTTTGTGAAACGTTTTCGGCATCGTACGCCTGGCAATTGAGGCGAGATGCGACCAGCCGGTCAAGGGCAGCCCAATCCTTAATAACTCCCGACTGCTCGACTTCACAATTTTTCGTAACTTCTTCTTTGCGACCGTTCGTTGTTGTTATAAGTAGTTCTTGCGGTTGGTAGCAATTGGGGGTTTGGCTTTCGAGCAGGCTCGGGAGTTTCAAGTGGTTTGCCAGCTGGCTTCCGCCCATCGACTGGATGATTTGCTCCAACGTCTCGTCGCCACACGAGTCCATGGTGGGGCCCGCTTGCCAGCTGGCGGCGGCGTTGGCTAGCGATTTGTGGCTGATGACGTGGCTTTTCTTCCGAAACACTCGGCACACGACCCACCCTGCTTCGTCGTGCATTGTCCCGTCACCTATACTCGTGTTCCGGACCTTCATTTGTTTTTTTTTTTTTGGTACACGTATATATACAATATTCGTATCAATTTTTCCCTCGATTTAAAATCGAACGAATGTACATTTTCAATAAAAAATCATATGCTTTAATTTTTTCGAAAACTATATAACAGAGCAATCTTGAACATCTTTTCGAAATTTTGGCCATCAAAAAAATGCATTTTTGTTCAGAAAATCAACAAATGTCGAGTCGAAATTAGCTCCTTTAACCAAGTGATCGCTTACGTTCTTCGTGTTCTCATGAATCACACGACGACATACTTTCTGAATAAGAACATATGCTTTAACTTTGTCGAAAACATTTTTTCTTTTTCCGAATTTTCGCCATAAAAAAAATGCATTTGTGTTCACAAAGCTACAAATATCGATCCTTAACCGACTTTTTGTGACGTATCTATTCGTAATCGATTAGTAGTTAATATAAAATTATAAATGCGACGACTTACGTTCTTCGGCTCGTCAAAAATCACACCACTCGCGATCAAACTGTTGTTGTCCAGCCTGTATTCGTGCATTATCCAGTCGGACTTCCGTCCGTGTGGCGCCCGGCCCGTGTAGAAAACGAGAGTCTTCCTCATCCCAATACGCCTCGAGCTCCCGTAAATCACCTTGTCGCGGCCCGTGGCCTTCCAAAAACCAGAGGCCGTGGCTCGGTTGGTCCGCGTTCCTGTCGGGTACTTCTTATCCTTGTGGCTGAAGAAATACCAGTCATTTTGTGGAGTAGACCCAATTCTACACTTTTCTGCCAAAAAAAAAAAAAAAAAAAAATCCATTAAAATTATGAATCATATTAATGCAGGCCAATTGATCAATTTTAAGTCCCTTCCGGGGACATCCGATAAAATTGGAACGATACAGTGAAGATTAGCATGACCCCTGCACAAGGATGACACGCATAAATCGAGAAATGGTCCAATTGATCAATTTTCAAATGCCAAAAAATATTTAATAAAAAAATAAAAAAAAGGGGGAAACCTTGAATGTCCCAAGGCTCAAGCTTGTTGAGATCAACATCTTGAATAACATCCAAATCAATTTGTTGAGAGCAAACCTTCTTCTTCAAGTAGTAATGCAAAAGCTCCTCCTCAGTGGGGTGGAATCTGAAGCCTGGAGGCACCTGGGATTGCCCATTCACAGTTATGCTCATTATTTTTTTTATTTTATAATAATAATAATTAATTTGGAGCAAACTATATAGTTAAATTAGTTCTTGATGATAAAATATAGTATTAATTTATATATATATCATCACTAGTTAGTAGTAAGTAACTCTCTCTAGACTCTCTACAAATTAATGAGAAACAATTAAGCAATCAGCAAGAGACATATATATATATATATATATATATCATATGTGGGCTGGTGGGGCCAGTGACTATAATCAACTCATTTTATTTTGTCCATGCAATTATAACTAATAACATGGTTGGGTGGGGCTATGATTTTACATTTTTTTTTTTTATTTGGGTAAAATAATCTTTTGCAATTTGTTTAAAAAAAATACTTCGTATATGCAACTTGAACTTTATCTATTGATATAGGATATTATGTTAGACCGATTTTAATGGATAAGAAGAAATATATTGGAAAATAAGCATACATATGGGCTCAGACATATAGCATAATGATATGGGTCAAACTCAATTTGAGCTTAAAAGGTACACCGCTTATAAAAGAGACTAAGGTATCTCATTCTTTCATTCTCTCTTCATTCATTACTACACTCTATCTCTTGATCGAGTACTGACTTAGGCATCGGAGGCCCGACGCTGGGACCTTCCCAACATTGGGCTCTTACAGGTACGAAGGCCGGTCGAGTTGAAGGAGTCCGGATAATGTCCATTTCACTATTATGTACATTCACAATTTAAAATTTCTCTACACGTCTGTTTTTACGATTATTATATGACTAAGATTTACGTGAGACACAAATTATGAATGTTACTGAAGTTCAACTAACAATTTATTAATAAAAACAATATAAGTTGCAATATACTACAAGTTGTAGCTATAATGTTTTACCCCTTTTTTATTTTTTAATTTGATATAAGTCGCAATATACTACAAGTTGTAGCTAATATTTTACCCCTTTTTTATTTTTCATTTTCAAATTTCGTTTTTTTTCGGTAGTACAATCCTTAACTTCATGAAAATTCACAATTCACAACTTCTCCAACATCTTGATTATACACTTATCCATTTTTTAAGCCGATTGTATGACTGAGATGTACACGATGTTGTTGCAAATTATGAATGTTCATGAAATTCAGGTTATATATAATCTTAACAAGAAGAATTCTCAAAGTCCAAAATAGGCATACATTACATATTTCACCTAGTGTTTTACCTTTTCTATTTTTTTTTTTTTTCAAGATTTTCCTTTTTTTTTTCTTTCTCACCCAATTAGACAAGTGGACTAAGCCACACTACCTAGAAAACCAAAAGGATGGGTTTAAAGATTTGTTTGAAAAATAAATAAATACTCTCCCTCCGTTTTAAAATGTTTGTCGTTTTGACTTTTTTGATTCATGGATGAAAATATTGTCTAGATACATAGTAAAATGGATGAATCAAAAAAGTCAAAACGACAAACATTTTAAAACGGATGGAGTATATAAATAAAATGTTGGGTGGGACCAAAAATGTGTGTGTTGATTTTCACAAAGTAGTGTGTAAGAAGCTAAGAGGGGTTGCCATTGCCAATGCCTCCATCGAAGAAAGCTACGGAGCACCTTGGAGACCACCTTAAAATATCCCTACGAAAATCACTACTGAAACAACCAAATGGATCCATCAAGCGGGTGAGATTGACTCTTATTGTCCAACCAACACAACCGATACATGGGGACACATGATGGATGGGTTAATTTCAAGATAATGATGTGGTCTCTTCTCTTCTGTGGGATAGACAAAATTCATGTTCGGTGTGTTTTATTTCATACGATAAACGAATACGTCGATACGTGCATAAATACGAAAGTCATAATATATGTGTTAAGGTATAATGCAGAGTGAAACATGAGAATGTTAGACGAGAGTTGAAAGTTCGGCGTTAATTGTCATTCTGAGATGAGATGTTTATTTTGACTGTCGATCTAGCCAGTGACGTTATTTGATAATCAGAATTGTGAGCAACTTTTAATCTAATAGTTTGGTAAGTAGTGTTTTGGATATTTTTTTTTTCTATAAAAAATCATCTAAATGGTTAATTTTTGAAAAGTTCAAAAGTATGTAATTTTTTGGGATGGATGATTATAAAATTAATCAATTTTTACTTATTAAACATCTAACTATTTATCAAAAATTATGCATATAATCAATTCCAATCAACTAATCAAATATATATGTTATTTCAACTAGATATTTGTTGATACCCAATTTGACTCCGATTAACTAAATAATAAATAAAATAATAATGTACGGCCTGATAACCAAGGAGTCGAAAATACGTCATTAATAAATGTGCAAGAAGAACAGATATTACAAGTTGATCGTCTAGAAGCCGGTCGGACCCACCCAGATGACAAGTCCGCCCCACTACTGAGCCGAGTAGAATTCGAGGTGATCGACCAGCACATATATCCTAAAGTAGCTGCCGATAATATAGACGTCAATCGAAGTCGTCAAAAGCCATAAAGCTGACCCTACGATGATCATCTCACATTAAATAATGATGTACTATTTTTTATTTATTTACTCACCCACTTGTATAAAAGGTCATGTATTTACAAGAAGAACAGAAAAATCACTTTCTTCCTCCCAACAACTCAAAAAGAGAGGAAAATTCTCTCAAATAATAAAAAGAAAATATCCATTTGAATCATTTTGTTCTCCAATTTAATTCAAGAAATTCGACTTCTATTTGACAGTTGATCATTCTATTTTCGACATCAACATTATCCACTATCAACTAGTTCGTATATGTGTTATCCGCTTTTCGTTAAGTATGAAATAGGGCTTGTCTTGGAACATAGAAATGTAATAATGTATTATTTTGTTTAAAAAAATATATACACGAAGAACGATTATAACCTAAATTGATCTGATCATTAATCGATGTTGGAGTGATTCTATGATTGGGCTTGCACAAGCACGATCACACAACGTATCAATAATTGTCGATTTTACTCTCTCTCTCTCTCTCTCTCTCTCTCTCTCTCTCTCTCTCTCTCTCTCTCTCTCTCTTTGTAGATATAGTTAGTGTTACTCGTCACATAGAGATGTTAAATGGAACAAGCCGCTCGTGAGCTAGCTCAAATTAGCTCGTTGAGGCTTGAGCTCGACTTGGTAAGTTTGATAAATGAGTCCAACTCGATCTCATTTAATGCCTGCTAAGTTAACAAGTTGATCTTGACTTAAATCGTTGCGCTTGATAAGTATTTTTTTTTTACATAATTTTCTAAACTTTTACCATAATTTAACTCGTTAAGATTCTTACTCATAGACAAACTGAGCTCAAACTCGTTTATCGTAAACTTAACAAAGTCAATAAAGTGTCCTAGCCAGACTTTGTGTATCAAGATTTCGAACTAAACTCGACTCGTTTACACAAACTCAATACACACATATATGTATATAAATATATATATATATATATATATATATATATAAAATAAAAAAAAAAAGATTATATCCACCCCACATTCTACTTTAATTAATTTGCGTCACTACAACTCAAGAGCTTGCTCAAGCACGTTTTTTATTTATTTGATTAATTGGATGTTGGCTTAACTAATTTTAATATACATGCTTATTGTCAATTCATACATGCATATTAATAATATAATGTGCCCCTTCAATTCCATTTCCCCCAATATTGCCGTTTTCCAAAGGTTTTGTCATCTTTGGAAAGCTCAATTAGTCAGTAAGAGAAGTGAGACAATACAACACACTCGAAAAATATTAAATGTTCAATTATTTTATTAAAATTGGAAACTTCATACGTTTTTTTTATGTAAAAACTACATTAAATTTTCAATTATTTTATTAAAATTACATTTTATTTTTAGTTAAAATAAAACTCGTCACTTGTGAGACTTATTTCTCCTTTATTAGTATAATTTTTCTAACTCAGATTATATAATAAGCTTAATAGAAATTTTTTTATATATGATATATGGAAGTCAAATAAAAAATTATTTTGATACAACATATATTAAAACTGGTAACAAAAAATAAAAATAAAAATTAATAAGTTCTAAATTAAGTTGATAAAGTGTTTTATATAATCACTAGTAATAATAGTATAAATATTCATGTACTATTCTAAAACACCAAACTTTAGACACATAATTATGAAGCTCCACTTGTTGCATTTATGTTTGAGAAACTATATATGCATTTATGTATGGAGTTCAAATATTAGACATGAAACCTTAGGTACATGAAACTAGCTAGTTTTTGGGATATGGTTTCACACTGTTGTATAATGTTTTAGAAAATGTTACAGTCCCGTTACGGAATAATTCCGTCAGGTTTTGTAACCGTCGGAGATAGTTGATCTAAGGGTTACAAATTCCGATAGAATGGTTCTGTAACGGGACCGTAACATCTCCCGATGTTTTATAGTAGAGCTAAGACATACATAACTTCAATAAATTTACATGATTTAACTTAAAAGTTAAAATTTAATATATTATGATGTAAATAAAATATAGAATTTTATAGCATAATAATATATTTTTTATTTTAAGAGTATGGTGAAATGACTCATAATTATTGCACCATATTATATTATCACAATTTGTGAATGTTTTTATATAAATATATGGCCTTAATTGTCAATTCTAAATCAAGAGTCTTATCTCTAAAAGCATCATGTAAAAGCATCGGCGGGCATGCTTGTTTAGTTTTTACCGGTCACCTCTTATAATGATGACCTTTTGCACCTTTTAATTTAGTCCCCAATAATCATTCACTTTGCATATCTTCAAGTGACTAGGCAACCACTCCATTTTTATAAATAGAATTATTATTTTATTATTAATAATTCATAAAATATTGTGCAAATAGATTATCCAACATTTGATTATTAATAGCATATAGATTAGCATAAGTTGTCATTTTATATTTTAGCTTCTTTTCCTAGACATAAGTTGCAATAGCAACTCTAGTTGTAAACTCTTAGTATAAAAGGGTAAACATTGT